AGTCTCAAAAATGTGATTATTTTTACATGGCACTACATTAACATCGTACACTTGAATCCTTGTTACTAAAAAAATATATATATACATAACTTTATCATCAAAACTCATTCTCACATCCACAACTTTGTTCTCAAAGTATTACGACTTAATCTCATTTTGCTATGACTTTATTCTATTATTGCTAAAACTTTGTTCCGGTAATTTTATTATCATCATCAAAATATTATGACTTTAATTTCACAGTACTACGACTTTATTCTCATAATTTGTACTTCATTCTCACTATTGCGATTTAAATATCATATAAGACTTTATTCTTGTAATTTTTATTATATCATCAAAATATTACGACTTTAATTTCACAATGCTACAACTTTATTTTCGTAATTTTGGCTTTATTATGAAAACATTAAAAGTTTAATCTCATATAAGCCTTTATTCTTATATTACTACGACTTTATTTTTGTAATTTCTATTTTATTATTAAAATATTACGACTCTAATCTCACAATGTTCAGACTTTATTCTCGTAATTTTGGCTTTATTCTCAAAATATTAAAGTTTAATCTTGTATAAAACTTTATTCTCATAATTTTGACTTTATTCTCAAAACATCACGGCTTTAAACTCGTATAAGACTTTATTCTCAAAATATTAAAGTTTGATCTTGCACAAGACTTTATTATCATAATGCTATGACTATTGATGTAATTGTTACTTTATTATCAAAATATGACAACTTTAATCTCAATGCTACTACTTTATTTTGAAATTTGGATTTAATTCTATGAATATTCATATAAGACTTTATTATTGTAATTTGTACTTTATTCTCAAAATATGACAAGTTTAATCTCAAATAAGACTTTATTTTCATGATGCTATGACTTTATTGTTGTAACTTTGACTTTATCATCAAAATATTGTGACTTTTTTTTTACGTGGCACTAAAACGCCTTTGTAGAATTGTTTAATTCTCCTCATCTACCTTCACAGTGGCCTTTGCTGTTTTTCTTCCATCCGTAGCAGCACTCCAGCCTGCTGCCGTAACGGCAAACACCCGCCAAACTCCTCGCTGGGATCTGACGCCTTTGTCTTCAAGGAAAACACCAGAAACATGTCAGCTTTACACTAAGATGGGAAGATTTCTAAGAAAATGCATTCAGATACGATCCAAAAATCACAACATGGAAGCAAAATGATGTTTTGTTTTTCATATGAAAACGTAATACCAAAATTGTGAAATTTACCAAATTCTGAGTTTCTACACCAGATTTTTCAGTATACAGACTGCCGTGACTAGTGTATCTCTGGACGTACAGTATTAGGCTGTGATTTAAAGGTAAGCGCCTCACTTTGGTGACCTGTGACCCTCCTGGACTAATTGCAGCCGTAAAAGCAGCAGAAATGGAGAAACACACATGAAGATCCAGCGGGGATTTGAACAGACATGATGTAGGAACCTCTGCGTTTATGGCTCTTTAAGTGTTTAACAGATGCCTCTTACAGGAACCCCTAACATTTCCGCTATAATTAAACCGTGTGCTATTCATGGCAATCACACATCAGCAGATGGATCAGGAGCTTCTTTCAAGCAGAGGTGTGTGTTGAGCAATAGTTAGCACTTAAACAGGCTTTCATAGACCTTTCATACACATGTAAGAGGGGTTGGCTTTGGGATTTTGCCGTATCAAATGAGCTTTTACTTCTTTGACTACTTTTCACAATTTTCTAAATATAGGCTTTGGTTATATGCATTTTCTTGACACTTAACAGGAACATTCTCAATTTTTAAATAATTAAATAAATAGCTAACATAATAATTCAATTAACATTTAAATTAAATAAATAATAAAATATACTATACACTCTTAAAAATAAAGGTGCTTCACGATGCCATAGAAGAACCTTTTTGTCTGAATGGTTGCATAAAGAAGCTTTAACATCTGAAGAACCTTTCTGTTTCACTAAAGCTTCTTTGTGGCGAAAGAAGGTTCTTCAGATTATAAAAAGGTAAGAAAGAGATGGTTCTTTAACTGAATGGTTCTTTGTGGAACCAAAAATGGTTCTTCTATGGCATCGCTTGAAGAAACTTTTGAAGCACCTTTATTTTTAAGAGTGTAGCATATAACTTAATTTTGTCAACGCTCGACTGCTCATTTGCATAAAGTTAAACATTTCTCAACGTTGTCTAGCGGCTGCACAAACCCACAATGTACTGTTGCAAAAAAACCCACATTATCAGACTCAACTACAGGCCTACAAAAATTGTACTACAAAGCTACAATTAATATTCAGTAATTTTATCGATTCAACTGCTTTATCACTGTCAGATGAGAACAAAACTTGAACTGAATAATGACACTATTGTCTTCTAAAATCGAAATCGTTTCATAACTGATAAAGCATTTTGCAGCATCGACACTGTTATTGAACTGAATTGAATCAACATTGAATTGATCTGAATAATGACAATATTGTCTTCTATAGAGCTACGTTGCAGCTGAAATTGAATTAGTTTTACACCATTATCACTGTCAATCTCCTGTTTACTAATGTGAAGCTGCTTTGAAACACTTTGTATAAAGCGCTATAGAAATAAATGTGATGAATATTATGTAATATATATACATATAAATTAATTTCAGCAATTGTTATGCATGTTTTTATGTACTACTTTTAAATTAAATAGTGTGATACTATAAATATCGGCTTTATATCGGCCATTCTCCACTCTAAGATCTGTATCAGCCATCTAAAAAAACAACAACAATATTGGTCGACCTCTACTACTACTACTAATAATAACTTTGAGCAAATATACAAATTTAAATTTTACAGTTTGAAAAAATAAATAATATTTGATGACTCATCCTGCACTACACAAATTTTCGTCCAATCAGATGCTCCCTAGAATGAGCAAGCCCCTCCCCCTAATTAATCTGCCTAGCAACAGAACGTCAACTAAAACCTTGAGCAATATATGATATATTACCTGCCCCAGTACTTGTTCAACAGAAAACAGACAAAACTGCTTTCATCAAGTGATCAACATGCTCTCTCTGGTTCCAGATGTTTGTAATTCTGCATGCTTCTCATGTTGGTCTCTAAATTTGGACCAGGCTCCAGCGGGACGGAGTGAATCAGTGAACCGACGGAAATAAACTCTGTACAGCAGCAAATGGGAGCCAGTCGTGTGAACAGGTGGCTCATTACGGCCAAAATTAGCAGCTCATCATTGGCAGATCAGCACCGACAGCTTCCCAAACCAACACAACAGCCATTTACATGAATACTGCAGAAATATTTCAAATATCAAGCTTGTGTATCATTTACAGCTACTTTTGCATTTAATAGTGATTTGATTTCATAGTTAACAGGAGGAGAATATATTCAGGTTTACTGAAATTCATTGAGTCAATCAATCAAAATAAATGCACTGGAAAAAAGAGAGAGAGAGATTTTCTTATTCTGGTAACACTTTACAATAAGGCCCCTTTAGTTAACATTAGTTAATGCATTAACTAACATTAACTAACAATAAGCAATACATTTGTATTTATCAATCTTCGTTAACGTTAACAAATATGCAACTATTCATTATTTGTTCATGTCAGCTCAAATACATTATATTAAATGGTACTACTTTTGATTGTACACTGTAAAATAATTCCATAAAATTTACGGTTACATCTGTGGTTGCCGGAATTTTACCGTAAAAAATACGGTAGCAGCATTTTAGGTTTTACGGTTTTAACTTAAATTTACAGTTAGATACCGTAATTTCATTAACTGATATAATGTTAATATACCAACCTACTGAAGGACTGAAATCTGTTTTGTACCTTTGTAATACACTGATAACCGCAGGAGGTGATGATGAAAGCCCATCAGAAGCAGCTTTTAAATACTAACATATATAGAAGGAGCACACAAACACTAAACACTAAACAGCATCACGGTAACACATGTGAAACTGAAATAACGCAATAAACATTCATTTAACAACATTAGGTGTAACACACAACCCTAATATACAAAACTGATAAGAAAAACTAAGAAGAAACAGTTATTTCAACAAAAAACATCACATTTGAAATGTAACGCAGGGAATTCTGGGAATGTCAATTTACGGTTATTCACTGTAAATTATACGGTCTTTTTCACTTCCAAAAACGGTATACTACCGTAAAATTACATGTAATGTCCAATACAGTTTTTCACCGTATATAGTAGGGGGAATTTACCGTTAACCATTTAACAGGTTTTTACTGTGGCATTTTTACAGTCTTTTACCGTTAAATTCACGGTCATTTTTACAGTGTAATAATGCATTAGTAAACATTAACTAAGATTAATAAATGCTTAATAAGTATTTGTGATTGTTAAATCATGTTAACTAATATAGTTCATGACTGTTAACAAACAAAACCTTATTGTAAAGTGTATTTTTGTCTTGTCTTCCATTTAAAACAAATCTAAATATTCATTCATCAAGATACTCGAGAAGCAAAAAGACTTCAGATATTAAGTCTTGTTTTCTGAAAAATGAGCTAAGAAAAATAATAATGTTTTTCATTTTAATTAAGTTTATTTGCTTCTTCTTCTTTTAAGCATAAACTCACTTTTTTTTTTTCTTTCGGAAAACATGACAATATGAATATTGTTTATTTTTTGTTTGCAGTTTATGCATTTAATATGGTTACAAAAGCATTGAAAATTAAATATTGACCTTTAATCAAAAAAAGTTGCATTGGTCCCAAATGTTTTTGCACATTAGTTACTGTTGCCTCTTAACTTATGAATTGATCTGCTCCATAAAAAAGCATCCTAAAATAAGATCCCAATCGTTTCTCAGAGAAATCAGTGAGATTAAAAGAAGAAAATCCTACTTCTCAGATGTTTCTCTTGAGAAAAGACCTCGATAATCTCACACGTGTCTCTCCTCTAGAGATGCAGAAGAAATCTCAACAATGTCTTCAATATGAGCATTAACATGCTGAAGTTTTCTGCACAACAGAGGCTGTTTGATTTTAAGCAGGAGAAGGTCACTTACCTGTAGTCTGCCGATCCTGAGGAGAAATAAAGCAGAAATGACAGAGCGCTGATCCACGTCAAATGTTTCATGTTTTAAAGCAAGCCTCTTTATTTCTGCACTGTCCCAGTGTGACTGCAGGATGAAGTCTGCAGCGTCTCTCTCTCTCGTCTCGCTGAAACTCCAGAAGTCATTGCGTTGAGTGACAGAAGGGCTGGAAGTCTTTTGTGGGGGTGTTTCAGACGTCTTCTCTCTGAAACTCAATCTGTGACGTCTAGATTGATGCAGTCACGTCAAACGACTCACTTCATGCTTCGGGAGAAAGAAAACCTGGTTTAAGAGAAAGTCGGAGTGAAAGAATACACTCTCTTTATTCATGAATGTGAATTTGAATTGAATTGGCCACAACATACAGGAAGCTGAATTCACTCAATTGCAATTTAAAGAAAGTTTACACAGTCACAATATAGAGCCTTGTCTTGCAACACAATTTTATGACAAAATTATTAATTTTGGCTAATTGTGCCTTTTGAAAAATGGACATATTTGAAGTACCAGTATTATTTTAGTATCACTGACACACTATTATAGCTTTTATTTAAAAAAAAAAAATATATATATATATATTCTGTTTTCACCTTAATTTTTTGTTTTATTTATTAGTTGTAGTTATTTAGTTTTAGTAATTTTGTTGTGCTTTTGTCATTTTTATGAGATTGTATTTTTTTACAATATGTCTTTATAGTGTTTATTACTTTTTATTTGTTAGTTTTAGTAAAATTTTTAAAACATTGTTTTAGATTTGCTGTTTTCACTGTAATTTTAGTTACCGTTTTAGTAATTTTGTTGTGCTTTTGTCATTTGTAACATATATAGATTTTTTTAAATATGTCTATATAGTTTTTATTAATTTTTTAGTTTTTTATTTCCAGTTTTCACTTTAATTTTAAAGTTTCAGTAATTTTGTCGTGTGTTTTTGTCATTTTTTATTAAAGATGTCTATATAGATTTATACATTTTAATTTTTTTTATATTTTCTGTTTTTACTTTAATTTGAGTTAGTTTTAAATATGTCTATATAGTTTTTAATTATTTTTATAGTTTATTTAGTTTTAGTTATTTTAGTATTTCAAGTAAACAAAAATTAGAAATGTTTTTTTTTCTCCAAGTAACATCGTTTTAGTATTAGAGAACATAATAAACCTGATTTGTACATGCAAACATAGTACACAAACAAAGCTAAAACTGCATAAAACTATTAAATATATAGTATATTTAATAAATATTTAATTTAATACAATATATTAGCTTTCATTTTTAATAGAATGTATATATTTAATATAGATTAATTCAAACACATATTTTCGAACTGAACTGAAGTAAATATGTAACTTCTTCATGATCTTGATGAATGTGATGATTTGTTGAAGCTGACAGGCTCGTCAGTATCTGCTCTGGCGTGTGGTTGTGAATTTCTCTCTCTATAGCGGAGCTGAACTGTGTTTGGGCTTGTCGTGTGCAGCTGGAACGCACTTTGAAGTGCTTCACACGATTATTAACTCTCAAGCCTGCCAGGTCATTCAAGAAAAGACAATATCCATCATTACAACAACTGTATGCTTCTACAGCCCTGCGTCTCCGTGTGAAGAAGACGAACATCTGGTCAAGCCTGACAGAGCTCTGACCCCGAGGAGCAGCTCAATAAGGCCACAAACACTTACACAAGTACACAAACACAGCCAACAAATGACAGGCGTGTGTTCTGTGCTACATACTTCCATGTGTTCTTGTGTTTCTGTGGCACAGACAAGCCTCAGTCCTCAAGAGGGCGATAGAGTTTCCTTCAGATGATATTAAACCAGATGAACATCTTTCACTAAGATATTAGTTGCATGCCTTTGTTTTTAGCCCTGTTTTCTTATGCTTAAAGTAAAGCAGCTTTCATTAGTTCATTAGATTCTTTAGTCTACTTATATGGTGCTTTTAGTAGCTTGTGATAAAAATCACCATTAATTGCATAAAAAAGATCTATATTCTGATGCTCTGTCAAACATCTAATTTTGTGTTTCATTGAAGAAAGAAAATAATATGTGGCTGAAATTACTTGATTAAAAAAAACACATATATATATTTATTTATAACTAGATACATACATAAATAAATGAACACATTGTTTTCTGCTAGCTGACAAGACAACGCGTCTCATTTACTTGATGCATTAAAATATTTAAAACTAAAGCTGAAATAAATGACTACTGAATATATATACATTTAAAAAACAACAAAAATAATACAAAAAATAATACAATTTGAATTTAAAAAAATTAACACACAATGAAACTTAAATAATAAAATATCAAATTAAAAACGAATTCATAAAATAAATGAATAAAAATGATATAGACATTTAAAAAAATCTAATGAAAATGTATTAAATCAATAGTTTAAAAACAATTAAAAATTATTAAAACTTTAACTATAATTAAAGTGAAAAGAGAAAAAAATTAATTATATATATGTATATATATATACATAAGTTATGCATTTAGCAGACGCTTTTATCCAAAACAACTTACAGTACATTCAGGATATACATTTTTCAAAATCAAATCAAATTCAATATGTTAATATAAACAGTTACACTTTATTTTAAGGTCCAATTCTCTCTATTAACTACAACTGCCTCCGAAAACTCCTAATTTGCTGCTTATTAATAGTAAGTTAGTTGTTAATTTAGGTATGGGGTGTAGGATTACGGGATCGAAAATAATGTAATTCAGAATAAGGCATTACTATGTGCTTTATACATACTAATAAACAGCCAATGGGCTAGTAATATACATGCTAGTTAATAGTGATAATTGGTCCTTAAAATAAAGTGTTACCATAAAAACTATAATAGTAGGCCTTTTTCAGTTATCCTATAATAACACAGAGTTGCTTTAATTGAATTAGCTTCATAATTGATGAATTTTGCAGCATTAAAGCTGTTATTTTCCTGTATATTACAGTGAAGCTCATTTGAAACAATATGTTTTGTAAAAAGAGCTTTATAAGTAAATGTGACTTGAGTTTCTACACTCTAAAAAATGCTGGGTTAAATGCACGCAGTGCTGGGTAAAATAGGGACAAACCCAGCAATTGGGCTGTTTTGACCCAGCGGTTGTGTTAAATGTGTAACCCAACCTTCTGGGTAGTAACCCAACCGCTGGGTCAAAACAACCCAATTGCTGGGTTTGTCCCTATTTTACCCAGCACTGCGTGCACTTAACCCAGCATTTTTTAGAGTGTAGAGGTAATAAATGGCTGTGTGTTTAAGCAGCATCTCGTGAGGTGAATCTGGAACACAAGGCCACATGCAGCTGCAGGTTTTCTGCTCCTGCAGTCGTGAGTTTCTAATGCAATGCTGCTTTGTCAGACACGATGTTTGTCAGCTCCTCCGGGCAAAAGCAGTTTGTCTGACAGGAGATTATTCCACATCATGAGGAGAAAACGAGCTTGAATTCGTCCCGGAGCCTGAAATGTTATCAGCCAAACAGACAAACCTTCCTTCATAATTCACTATAAGAAGGTCACTTTCTCTACAGATCATGAAAATTTCACACATACTGTAAAATTTACATGCACTTAGCTTTTTTGTGCTGCCTTTAGTTCAGATTTTACACTGGTATCTCAGCAATAATATTTTTACATTATTATATTATGTTAAAATAAATATAATACGTTTTTAATATAATACTGCAAAGAAATGATCTACGATTGAACAGATATAATACTAAGAAGAGTATCATAAAAATTATGAATATTGTTGGCTTTGTGATGCATTGCTTATCTTGCTCTGGATTGCTTCGGATAACAGCGTTCGCTAAATGCATGAATGTAAATGAATTATATGGTCATTTAAAGAGAATCCTAATTGGGAATAATTACCTAAAAGAAAAACTATAAAGCTAACTCTAAAAAAAAAAAAAACATTAGGATGCATTACAATAATACGAATCTGGGAGGAAAAAGTGCTTAACTGTCATTAAAATAATGTCACAAAGCTAAAAATTGTAATGGTCCAAAAACAGGCTTCGGTTTCTTCATGCAAAATATAATTTCTATATGTTTTCAATTTACCTGGACATGTTTTCATCACATTCATGAATTTAATGACCCTCATCAGACTAGAGACACTCATATTTTGTTTATTATTTAGTCAGAGTTATTATAGATAGCTACAACTAAAACCATAAAAACATATTTTCGTTACTTGAAATGTTAACTCTCTCTCTCTCTCTCTCTCTCTCTATATATATATATGGGCGCCGCTCAAGCCATTTGCATGAAGAATATGACGCAGGAGAAGAAAGTTCAACACTATTCAGCAATAACAAAAATTAAACACAAATGTGTCATTTTTGCTTAGTATGGATGAATTGGATCATCGGAGGTCAGCAGTAAAAACATTGGTTAATAAAATGTGATTAAAAACATAAATGATATTTGTCTTATTTAACATATTGAATTATTGCAGGTTTGTATAATATTCTGAGTTTGCATTTGACTGTTTTGTACTGAATCTGTTCATATTTACTTTAATAACTTTACTAGTTACTTAAAAAAGTAATCTGATCACGTAACTTGCGTTACCCCCAACACTGTATATATATATACAGTATATATATAAACTTGCGAAGGCAACATTTCTCATTTTCATTCAGTTTAACTTTAAAAAAATTGAACTAAAACTTAAATAAAAAATAATAATAACAAAAACTGTAAAAACACACAAATAATACTAATACTAAATACTGAAACTTTAACAAAAATTTAAATAAAAACAAAAAAACTCTAAAAATAATAACTAGCTCAATATTAATAAAACTATGGTAGTCTCTTAATGATACTAAATCACACTGTATTTAGTATTATTTACTCTAGTAGGTGGCTAAAAAGCAAAGTGACAGTGAAATCATTTCTCTGCAGTAATGTCAGGTTAAGTGCTTTGTGCTGGTCAAAGGGCAGAACGGTGTTGACCTCAGAAGGTCACCCTGATGTGGGATCAAACGCTTGACCTTTGTCCATGAGGAATCACCCTGTGCAAGGAAACCATAATGAAGCAAAGCTAATATTCACACTTTAATACATAAGGTTAGAGGTCTGACATTAAATTA